GACACAAATGCAATCATATAGGTTGAAAGTTAGCATTTTACTGCCAAAACCTTCATTGCTTTACTTAAAAGAATGCAGACCACAGACCAGGCCTAAAAAAACAGACAGTGGGCAATATACAACACTATGCTAGAGCTATGAAACAATTGACAAAAGACAACTAAGACTTCACCATGTTGATTTCTTGGCGTTTACAGCTCGATATGCCAGGAAAGACGACCAAGTTTACGCAGTTATGCATCTTGTCATTGATAAATTTATTGACTACAGCAGTTGGATAATAAATCTCTTATTAGATGTTTTGGTGTGTAGTATCGCCTTATATTTATACTCGTTGTTTGTATTTTGACGAGCCCGTAGGGCACAACTCCTAAAAATATACAGCGATACTACACACCAAAACATCTATCTAGTAAAGCCCCAGCCAAAAGATCGAAACATTTCAACGCACCTTGATTATTCCAGATATCACAAAAGCCTCATTCAATAATTATTGTTTATTACTATAAATTGAACTCACTATCTCTTCTCTGATTGGCCGAAAGTGTTCAGTGAATTTTCGAAATCAGCGCCCATCTAGCTGCAGATTATACAATAATCAGGTCAAGGACACTCAAGGTCACGGGTGATCATGTCATGTAGCAAAAACATGACTTCCTTTTTTTTTCGTTCAATGTATAATAAAACAATTATTAGATTCGGTTTTTGTGATTTCCAGAATAATCAAGGTCTCGGTAAGGGTCATCAGCCTCGGCCTTCAGCTTCGGCTGATAACCCCTACCTCTCTATAACGAAATTCTCGATCGTGATTGGTTCTCAGCGCGCCTATTTGCCACGTAATCGGCGCGCGATCACGCGGATGTCCAATTATAAGTATCCAATTTGAAGTTTTTGTAATTGGACACCTATAATGAGATACCCACATGATTTACACCTGCTTTCTTTGCAATGTTTCCCACAAATTCAAGACTTATGAAACGCGCTACATACGTTTTCGCGCGAAAGAAGTTTTCGAAAGACATTTTTAAGTCCGAAATTTGTTATAGATACAATTAATTAGTAATTGGATGAGCCAATTAGCCAGGATGAGTGTGAAATCGTGAAGAAGACGCCGTTGCAGGGTAAGGATGTTGTATGTTTAGAGAATGTGACGACAGAGAAAATGAACATTGTGGAGGACAATGTTTCGGTTTTAAAGCTAGGTTCTGGGCCGGTGTTGAATATAAAAAAAGTTTACGGCCCCCAGAGAAAATGGAGGATCCCGAAAAGAGAAATATATCTTGTTTTGTACGAAACGTAGACAAAGGAAATCTGTTTGTGCTTAAGGTGGAATTAATTCCCTTCTTGTGGGCATTTGCATGTTTGGAAACGTTGCAAACCAAAATGGATTTCAGTTGTTTAATTTGGTGTAACGCTCCTCAAGATTTACGGTTCTACAACTTAGCAAGGCAGTACTCATCCCAG